GTTAGCTTGTTAAGCTTAGCCTTTAAGTCAAGAACGTGGCGTTTTATCCTCGTACTATATATATATATATATAATGTTTGTGCGTGTGTGACTGAAACTGAAACAACGGTGAATCTGTATATATATATATATAACCTTCAGATAATGACATTTTATCACTGCTTTCCACAAAGGTTTTAATTTAGCTAGAATCTGTGCGTCGACATAGTTTTATATCCATACCCTGCAAGTGTTATATTATCATGGTGCCATCGTTGCAGTGGTGCTGTACTGCCACGCCTTAGAAACTTCCTTCTGCCGCTGAAAGCATAACGGCGCTACGAGTACGTTGTTCATAGGAAACGACGTGACAGGAAGTAATTAGATTAAACTTTTGTTTATTAAAAACTGTTTAATAGCTGTTTATCAAACTATTAGATTAATCAGAAATCCTAACTCTGGCTGCGTGATCACCATTGCGGTGTTCGACATTCCCTCCGGATTCCCACAGAGAAGAAGGGCATAAATCAAAGAGGCATCATCTCCCCAGTGAGCTTATCAGTAAATTATCAGTAGATCGCTTATTAAGCCGGATTGTCAGTAGACTGCTATTAACTTTAACGTACCTTAAAGCAGCATATAGAACTTTGGAGTCACTCGGCAATTATTAACGTCACGTAGAAACTACTTGTATATGTATTTCAGAATCTGTGGACGATTGTGGTTTGAAGTTTCTGATGGCCTTACGACTATACGAATATCTGCTTCGGTGTCTTCCGGCAAACCAGCGAATGTCTCTGAAGTCGAAAGGTCTGTGAATTGATTATGGCAGCTATATATTGTTACCGTATCACTAATAGTTCTTGATCAGGATACTTTGAAACGAATTTATTTTCCATCATGTTCTCTTTACACGGGACAGCTGTTCGAGTCAATTGCGTCCACACTTCAATTGTTGGTTTCACCTTGCAGTTTCATATTGCATTTTTCGATATCGCTTCACTTTTTCTTTGGAAAAAGAAGTCTTTTACTTCTGTTCTTGGAAGTGTCAGTTTTTTGGCCACATTTCCAATGTACTTTAAGTATCTTTGTTTTGCGTGTCATAATCGCCGGAGCCTGCACTCGATCAGCTTTTCTGAAATTAGTACTGCATCCGAAGTGCATCTTATGGATCTATTCGGGGTATGTTTTCTTTCGCTGATACCTCATATCCTTCTGGGCATTCGCATTTTCACCGAGTTTAGCAGTTGCTCGTGCCTCTTCGCGATACCCGTTTATTCCGTTGCGTACGGAAGCACCGATCTTAAGGTCTTTTGTACATGTTTCCCCTTAGATTACTAGTCATTTTGTCCCACAATATGCTGCTCACGTTTTTCCGTTTGGGACAAGCTTTTTCGATCGATTTTTAACTCATTGTCGATTTTCCCATTGTTTGGAATCAAGGTACATTTGGTATTAATGTCTTGGGTTTCAGACACCAAATTGTCAGGTATGTACACTGATTCGTTGACTTTTTCTGTACTCTTCCCGGTGAAATCGCTTGACATGTATTACTAGCCTTTGCTGAGCAGATGGATGTTGTTCTCAAGGACTCCTCCATGCTTAGATTTCTGCTTCTGTTGCTTTCCGTACTGAGCATCCGTACGTCATATACATGGAGCTGGGACTGTGTCCGGTGGGTATTTAGTTGTCACCGTTGTAAGCATCGGTACAGTAATGGGCTCATTGCTGGACCTTGATCGCCCTCTATTGGTACGGTGAATTGTACCGTTTCGTCGCATATGCTTCGGATTATACTTCAAAGTACTTCGGCTATATGGTTTTGGCAGGTGTTGCGAATGCCTCCAGAAAGGAAGGCTAAGCAACTGTTCCTTGCAAATCCGACCGGCAGAAGGCCAAGGGGACGGCCAAAATTAACCTGGTGCAAATATATGGATGGAGTTTGTTCCAGACACCAGATGTCTTCTGCCGAAGCTCAGACTCTGGCACAGACAGGATCGGGAACGTTGGAAGCTCTGTCTGACGCGTCTGCCTCCGCGATCTGAAAGCAGAACCGGTTATGGAAGATGAAAGTACTTCAGCTATTGTAGTTCACCGAATAACGAACTTTAAAAAATCGATGAAGTTATAGTCCGCTACAAACTTTTGTCGGACATTAGAATATAGCACTAAACTCAACGCTTGTAATAACTGAAAACATGAATTTATCTTCATATCGCTTGCTATTCAGCTCTGTATCTCTTAAAATGAATTTATTCGTTGCTATTAGACCAAGAAAGATATTCGTTCAAGTCCAAACACGTAAACGCTTCATCAGTCATATGACAACATGAATGTCTTTCAGAGAACAACAATTAGACTAATGTGACAAATCCGGATAAACCTACTCTCAAGTCGCCTGTAAACATACGGTTTGAAAAAATATGGCTTGTGGCAAAAGCCGAGCTCATGCTGTGCTGTAATTTTGCCCTTGTCTTTGGTATTATAGTCGCGGAGGAAATCACATGTCGATGAGCTTTGCGATTTTCAGCCATTAGTCGTAAGAATCCTCAGTTTTCTTGTTTATTGTTTGAATCCCGCGGTATTGAGTTATGTTCACGAATCAGCGTAGCAGGAAATCCATATATCCCGCATCAGTTAAGCTGTAAGCGGGATGTAGTACCAACACAGAGGGAAGATGAAGAAATACATTGAACGATGCTGGCAGAATGAAAGATCGAATGACATATCAATTACTTCTGAATGATTATGAGGGAGACGAAGAAGTTACAACTTCCATTTCGTTTTTTATTACAATTAATTGCACCTTGCACCGTATCGAGTAAACGATAGCGGGTTCCGACTACGTCTGTTACTTCACTTTTGTCTTTACTGTGGGTGTTTTTGGGGCTCATGCTTGATTTAACTGACATCGAAGAGGTTATTATTGGAGGTTTTTCGCGTCATGGAGTCCCTGTGATTGCGAACTTTAACGACGAATTTTACGGTTGCTGGTTTTCACTTGTTTAGATTCTGTGTTTGTGCCTTTTAGAATTTTATGCTACATTTAACATCCGGAATCCTTTCCCCTGTGCAGATGAGCGTACATTCCTTGTTCTTTAATTTAAAATTAAGTTAATTAATTTAGTTATTAAATTAGCAAAATCTCATCATCGTTACTATGTTAAAATTTTGGAAGCATCCCTTAATCAAAAATATCTTTAGGACTTTCCACCGCGAGTATCATTTGGGCGCTGCACTCTGAGAGTCAGACCGAACTGTTGAACTCTCTTCCATGTATGCAAAAGAACG